TCAAGATAGGGTAAAAGATGGGGTTCTAGAACTTCGTGGATATAACGCAGCGCGTTCATGTTACCTCTGATGAAGATTAAAGGTGACCTGGAACCCTAAGCTATAGCAAACCAAACCATAACTCCAGCAGTGTGATGAACATGTCTTTCAACAAAAAACTGTGGATTCCTCCTTTCACCACGTCGCCTTCTAACCCTGGCACGACCATCGTGCATGCCTAAACAAAATCGAGGCTCGTCACTAAAGACAATACTGTTCCATTCCTGATCCCAGAATGACCGTTGTCTGCACCACTCAAGGCGATTACGTCGGTGTTCTCGAGTTAAAGGGAGGAACCCAGTGTGGCCGGTATGAAAACAAGCCAAAACTTCTCATTCGTCGGTAAACACTTCGCATGCCAATAGGTCTTCCGTGTTCTGTAAACCATTCATTTGCAATGGACCTTGTAGTGGAGAAACGGTCCCTTAAGGCCAATAATCTTAGGCGGCGATCTTCACGGTGTGTTGTAATACGGCGGCGTCCAGTGCCCCTTGCTCTTTGCGTACGGCCTTCTCGAAGCCATGCCTGACAACACCTAACCACAGTGTCTACACTTCTTTGCAATTGCCCGAAAAGAAAGTCCAGCTTCCCGAAGTCCCACTATACGGCCCCTATCAAACTCACTAAGTTGACGAAATCGTACAGGTCTCCGTACTCTAGGCATCCTAACCGATCGTAAAGGATGTCAAGAACCAAAATCCGCCAACGTTGATTCTTTACTGCGGCTGAAATATTCATTTTTAGAGCGTTAGTGAATTAAAAAAAGGCAGTATAAAAACCGGAATGTCCAACTGATAAGGCTGAAAATTTTTTCACTTGTTATTTACAGTAAGATAAATACATTCAACTTTTATTAAAATAAAACCATTTAAACTGGGTGTTCGGATTTATATGTCACTTAGTATATGATTGTTAGATGCGGAGTTCCACAAGGAAGCGTATTAGGACCAATGCTGTTTGATTCATATATTAATGACCTTTTTAAGTTAGAAAACGATGGAGAAATTGTTGGTTTCGCAGACGATACGGCAATTATTTAATCAGACAAAGATTGGTCTTCTTTAAAAAACAAAATTGTATTAGATTTTCAAAAGGTTACAAATTTTTTCACGGAAAGGATTTTAACAGTTAATTTCAACAAAACATACTTTATTACATTTTCTTGCGACAACAGATCTTTCCCACAATTTAATCAACTCCAAATTAAAACGTTGAATAGCTGTAGAAACATACAATCGGTTGATAATTTCAAATACCTAGGGGTATTCGTAGATAACCATCTAAGATGGAATAAACATATTGAAAATTTAGTAAGAAAATTAAGATAACTTATTCCGAAAGTCAAATATTTCAGCAGTTTTTTAAGCGAAAAATATCTACACATTATACAGGGTGTTTCAGTTTATTGTTGCATAACTTTAAGATTCGATAGAACTTTTAAAATTAATGCATAAAGTCTATATAAACATGGATCGAAAAATGCGTGGCTTCCGAAATACATGCTGTTTAAATTTAATTTCTAAAATAGTTTTTTTTAAATATTTCAAACAATATTTGATATATAATAGTGAAAATTGGTACACAAGGGTTTTTTGGTATGACAAAACGAACCATGGACATAGTTTTACTGTAGCCGCTAGAGGGCGCTCTCTACTGTACCTGTAGTGTATTAAAATGACCGACAATTTTTTCTTAGTGCAATTTTTTGCTTTTTGAATAAAAAACTGATTCCTCGCACTTTTCAACATAAAAAAGCTCTGTTGTGAATTTTCGTTATATTGAGCCGTTTTTGAAATATTTCGATTTTTAAGGTTCGTTGTATTTTTAATTATTTATGATAAAATAACGTTAAAAAGTCAGTATCTCGATAATTTTTAGAAGTAGGCTGTGCCTGCAAATATTTTTGAAATTGAAAGCAGAATAAGGTTAAACGTCAATTAGTTGACAGTTAGTTTTGTTGTCTGTTGAAACCTAAAACGTTTTTTTGCAATTGTGAATGCACGAAATTTAGTTTCTTTTACCTGTTTTTTTTTGTAAGTTTTATAAAAATGCCATTTTTATTCTCCAATCAAGAGTTAGCGGATATTCATTTTGTGTATGGCTTTGTAAATGGAAACGCAGCAAAAGCAGCCAGAGAATACGCATGAAGATTTCCAAACAGACGACATCAAACTCGCTAAGTATTTGTAAGAGTGCAACGCCAAATAATTGAAAACGGTTTTGGAAATCTCCAAAGGAATCAAAACATAAATGTTCGTCAGCGCAGATTTACCCGTATGATCCTGCGTGAGTTTGATATAGATCCGACCACAAGTGTTAGGAGAGTTTCTGGTGCCTTGGGAATTTCAGCAAGCCATGTTCACCGTGTTCTTAGAAATGACCATAGACGTCCTTACCATTTGCATCCTGTGCAAGGACTACAGCCAGGGGACGGAGAACGAAGAATCACATTTTGTCAGTGGATTCTTGATAGAACTGATAATAATAGGGAGTTTTTAAGTAACGTTTTATGGACCGATGAGTCATGCTTCACTAGACGTGGAGTGGTACATTTTCATAATCAACATATTTGGTCGCATGAAAATCCGCATGCAGTTTGGGAAAGAAATTTTCAGCATTAATTTAGTGTGAACCTGTGGATTGGTATCTACCGTAATCGACTATTTGGACCCTACCTTTTGCCTGCAAGGTTAAATGCTGCGATCTTCTTGGAATTTTTAAAAGCTGAACATGCAAATATGTGGGATGATGTTATGTTTGATTTAAGAAGATTGGCCTGGTTCCAGCTTGATGGTTGTCCAGCTCATTATTCGAGAATAGTTAGAAACTGGCTGGACGAAAATTATCCAAAAAGATGGATCGGCCGTGGAGGACCAGTCGCCTGGCCTCCACGATCCCCTGACCGAAATCCATTAGACTTCTTTGTGTGGGGATTTCTAAAAGAAAAAGTGTACCAGACTCCCGTAACCACAAGAGATATGCTAATAGACAGAATCACGAATGCATGCGATGAAATAAGGCCTTATTTGAATAATGCTATACCACGTTCGATCATTCGTAGATGTGAATTGTGTATTAACCAATTGGGTTTACATTTCGAGCAACTACTTTAGATTTTGTATGTTTGTCCTAACTATCCAATAGCATTTTAGTTGTAAATAATTAATTTAATTTGTTAAAAGTAATATTGGAACATTAAACAAATTAATATTCTGTTTTTTTGTGTTTATTTGGAGTTAGGAACTATTGCTGTGTTTAAAAACACAATCTAAACGATCATCTTAATTACTTGTAATGCCCAAATCGAAAATGTAAAAAAAAATATTATTTTTCCATAAATAATTAAAAATGCATCGAACCTTAAAAATCGAAATATCTTAAAAACGGCTAACTATAACAAAAACTCACAGGAGAGCTTTCTTATGTTGAAAAGTGCGAAGAATCCGTTTTTTTATTCAAAAAGCAAAAAATTGCACTAAGAGAAATTTTTCGGTCATTTTAATACACTACAGGTACAGTAGAGAGCGCCCTCTAGCGGTTACAGTAAAACTATGCCCATGGTTCGTTTTTTCGTACCAAAAAACCCTTGTATACCAATTTTTACTGTTATACATCAAATATTGTTCGAAATATTTAAAAAAAAACTATGTTAGAAAGTAAATTTAAACACCCTGTATATTGGAAGCCACGCATTTTTCGACACATGTTTATATAGACTTTATGCATTGATTTTAAAAGTTCTATCGAATCTTAAAGTTATGCAACAATAAACTGAAACACCCTGTATATCATGCCCTTGTTCAATCATTACTATCTTACGGAATCTTAGCATGGGGGGAGTCATGAATAATTTTTATAAAAAGATTGAAATTTCGCAGAAGTGGATTTTGAAAGTTATGTTGAACAAAAAGAAATGTTATCCCTCAGAAAATCCTTACAATGTCTCAGCTTTTCGACTACCGGCAAATTTATTTTTATCATACAATAACATATTTAACAAAAAATCTAAAATTGTTACTTTCTATCAGCCACAACCATCAAACGCGATTCAATTAAACCTCTGCACTAATTCCTAGACTAAATAAAACTATCAACCAAAGATCATTCTATTTTCTATGCTCAAAATTTAATGTTATTCTTGCACACCTTAAATATATAAAATGTATGAAACGTTTAAAAATTGAATTAAAATGATGGATCCTAAATCAACCAAGGCTACAAATCCATAAGTTTGTTATTTGATCATAAAATGATGCAAATTTATACATTTGGCTAGTATACTTAAAGAAAATTTGTTGTATTGATATACCTCAACTTCGGTTGAAACCCAAGCACAAGTGTATACTTTTTTGGGTATATTATGTTTATTGGACATTGCCGTTATTATTTATACGAAAACTTTGTAATTGGACCAATAAACATTATTATTATTACTGTTTCTTTTATTATGCAACTTTTATGTAAGTAATTTTTGGTATATCAACTCCTTTTGACGAATCCTATAAGCAGTTAAAATAAACGACTCAACTTTGAAAACACCCTGTATACTTTCATCGTTAGAAGAATGGTTTACGTTAAGTTTGGGTTTATATTTTTCAATATTTTTTACGCAGTTGGTACACTTCAGGATTTCAGATGAACATTCTTTAGACCCGTAATTACCACAACACAAAGCACGCACAACTGACAACTTTTTTCACTGTGGTCAAATCCACTGCATTTGGAGCATCGAACTAACCTGAGATGATCTACACACACACTCTGTATAGCAATCGCGGTGCCTCGGTATTTGCACTTGTGCCATCGCCACAAGAGCAGTATAAAGAATGTATTTGAACTTTTCGTTCTGCCTTGTGGGCTGCTCGAGTATAGAAAAATCACAAATTTTGGATGGAACCTGCCCCGTAATATGAGGAGCAAATTGATCGAGTGCAGTCAATTTCATAATAATTATATTTCAGTGTTATGAAATGATGGATCAGTGATGCTGAGTATGATGAATTAAAACATACACACTGCTGTTAGGTGGCACTGTCGTCCATTTGATGGATTGTCGGATATCCAATCAGCCAAGATAATAAAGGTGGGTGTGTAATGGTGAAGGATATGAAAAAGGTGATGCTATAAAAAGCTCGAGCGGGTTTATATTTACCATACCCTTTGCGGCGTAATATGTCAAAGTCCAAAAATATCGCATTTAACTACATACAATAGAGGATGTATCCCAAATGGAAATTAATAATAATAATAATAATTCGGAATAGGCAAATGCGCTATGGTTCATCTCAAGAAGGGACGTTACGGTGATAGTGAAGAAGGGGAGCAGCTCGTGGATGGGAGCGTAGTCAAAAGGGTCTTTCCGCCGCAAATACCTGCATCGACTGAGTCAGATCTGGTCATAATATTTTTTTTTGTGAGGGGGGGAATGCATTTTAGCCCGAGCTACGGCGTGTGTGGGACTCCAGGTTGTCTTGAGGAGACTACCTAATACCTACTAAACCCTAACCTCCGCGTGGCCCGACTCATCAGCGTCTCGGTAAGGTCATGTGTTGTGCGTGACCTGAGGTTTGCTACAACGTCTCCTCATGTGTTTCAGTCTCTGGGAACGCCGGGTTGGTTCCCTTTACCTCGCACAATTCTATCGATGTCGTTGAGCGAGCATCGATAGAGGGACTGCTGCATTCTCTTGAAATTCTTGTTTTCGAAATATCAAGAGTTTCAAGTCGTCTACCTGTTAGTGTGTTGCCTGGTCCTGGTGGGGTCCTGGTCCTGGTAGGTCCTGTATCCGGTCCTGGTGGGTCCTGGTCCTGGTGGGTCCTGTTCCTTGTCCTCTGCTATCATGCCGGGGGGGGGGGTACTCCTAGTCAAGGTTCCAGTTAGCGCCTGCCAACTGTGACTTGGGCCTAGGGTACTTGGCTCTGCGGTTGCGAGCCCTCTGGTCCGGATCGTAGTCCATGAGGAGTCGTAGTTACTCATTCGGGTGGTCCTGGGCTTTCTGCTCTCCTTTTTTTCCTTATGTACTCGTGAATGGTGTCCCAATGCAGGTCTCTACGCAAGGTTGAGTTTCTTACGTAGGATGGTGCACTGGTGGCGATCCGGAGTAGCTTCATCTCTAGAGCGGCAAGTCGCTTGCGGTAGCTGGGAGCAGGTGAGGAACTTTTCAAATACGATCCCCAGGTATTTGACTTTGTCGTTCCACTGGATATCTTCGTCGACGATGGATGCTCTAGGGAGGTCTTGCAATCCTTCTTCGTTGGATGAAGATTGCCTGCGTCTTCTGGACGTTGATGCGGATTTTCCATTTAACGCACCAGTCCTGGATGTGGTCCAGTTCATCCTGTACTCTCCTAAGGAGGATCTCGGGTAGTCGATGCTTGGCGGCTATAGCAGTGTCGTCTGCATATAGGGCCGGCATTGTGTCTGCTGTCTTCGGTGCGTCGTGTGTGTAGATGTTGTAGAGTAGGCGGGCTAAGGCTGACCCCTGAGGCACGCCTGCTCCCAGCTGTCTTCTTGTTGAGTGGCATGTACCAATCTTTACCGTGAACCATCTTTGTGTTAGATAGCTCTGGATCAGTTGGCACATGTTTGCGTCGATTCCGGCGGTTTCCATTTTGGCGATGAGTCCATCATGCCAAACTCGCTCGAAGGCTCGTTCCACGTCCAGCAGGACGAGGCCGGTTGCCTCCTGGAGATTGAAGCCACTGGTGATGTGTTCTGTCAGTCGTAGCGCTTGGAGTTCCGTGTTGTGGATGGGTCTGAAGCCGAATTGCTCTGGGGAGAGAAGTTCCAGTTCTTCTGCCTGCTTCATTAGTCGAACGGCGATGGCCTTTTCGACTACTTTGCCCATCGAGGATACCAGGCTGATGGGCCGGTAGTTCTGAGGCAACTTCCGCTCCTTGCCTGGCTTGGTGAGCATTATAACCTGGGCTTCCCGCCACCGTCGCGGGAAGTGGTTAAGATTCAGAGTGGCATTGGCCATTGTTGGTGAGCGCAGCAATGCATCTGGAGTGAAGGTTCTTCAGCATCCTGTTGTTAATGTGTTAATGCCGTCCTTTCCCGGCGCCTTTCTGACCTTCAACCTGCGGATGATCAGGCGGATTTCCTCTGGACTGGATGGTTGGTCTGTCTCCTGGCCAGGTGGTCGACTCCTCATGGTTTCGGCTGCGACTTCCACGGCCTCCTCGTGGTTGTTTTCCTCGTCTTCATGGTAATTAAGTCTGCATTCGGCGAAAGCTTCGTCTTTTTCTTCACTGGAATAGGCCAAGCCGCATTGGCCGTGAAGAGTTCCGCGGGGGCATTCTTCAGAGCTAGCGATGCTTTGTTTCGCGCAACTCTCGAGTCCTTTGTCAACAGCTGAGAGATGTTCTCGCTTGAGTCTTCTGTTCTCCCTTATCAGGTGCCTAATATGGTGCGGTGCTGGACCATTTAGGTGTCTTGGAGCTGCCGGAGTCTCGGAGTGGGTGCTATCCTCGTGCGCTCGCACGACAGCATTCTCCAGCTCCTCTATTTTAGGTGATATTCCTTTGGACGTTGGATTTGTAGTAGTTCCAGTTCATCCGTTTGGTGGTCAAGCTATCTTGAGTTGCAGACACTGTGCTAAACGTTAGTAGGATCGGGTTGTAGTCTGACGATCCATCCTCCAGGGTCTCTATCTCGAACTCCTCTCTGATGTTGCGGAGAATGGCTATGTCCACTACCGCAGGTCGCCCAAGGCCGAATGGAATGTAGGTTGGTTGCTCCGGACCGACGATGACCTCCGCCAGGGCATCGACGTGTTCTTGGAGGTGCCTTGCATTCCTGTCTTCGACGTCCTTGTTCCATGCCGGAGATTTGCAGTTTAGATCTCCGATGACTATGAGTGCTCCTGGGCCTCTCAGGAGGTCAGCGATGTCATCTTCGTCTAGGGCCTCCCCTGGTGGCACATAAAGGAAGTTGACGGTGGTTGTGATGAACCTGAACGATGATTCCGTCCCCATTGATGTCTGCGGAGTCGTCGAGGACATGACTCGTCAGGGTACGTTTGACGAGTAGCGCGACTCCTCCACATCTGCCTCTTCTGTCGTAGCGGTACGTCTCGTACCGCGGGAACGTCAGTCTATGGGCGGCGTCCAATTTAGTTTCTTGGATGGCCATCACCTCTGGTTGGTACTGGTCTAGTGTCTCCTGAATTTCTGGTTTCCGTGCCCTGAATCGGTTGATGTTCCAGGAGATTATATGTAGTGGTATCACGTTTTGTCTTGCAGTCATTTGCTGGCCTAATGTTTGTCTTCCATCTTGGCCTCGAGTGCATCCAGGCGGGTTATGATGGCTTGCATCATAGCCCGAAGAATGCAGAAAGCGGTCATCCTCGGCGAGTAGGGCGCTCGATTTACGGTCCAACTAGCTACTCCTCACGGCGTGAGATAATAATGTAGACATTTCAAAATATTTCAAACTAACTACATTTCTGAAACAAAATGGAAAAGGTTACAAGACCAAGAAAGCTACGATTTTTACGAGTACACAAAGAAGTGATTTTTTAAATGATGCTCTCGATGAACTTTATTTAATGGCCAAGGTTGTTGTTGTATTTGGGATTGCAGCAGCTTGTCGAATTTGTGAAATCAGCCAGGTAACATTAGATGATATTGAAGATTCGGGAACGTTATTAGTTGTGAAATTTAAGGAAACAAAGAATGATGTAAACAGGAGATTGGTAGTAGTTTTACTTAATGTACATAGCCCTTCGTCCAGCAGCAGCAAAGGATCGCCGCCTTTTTTATGCATGTCACAATGGAAAATGTATCAGTCAGATTGTGGGTAAAAACCAGTTCTATAAGGTTCCCAGTATTCGTCATTTGTTTGTCTGGGCGGTCAGTAGGACCTTTGCCCATTAGTCACTGTCTAATGTACGTTAGTCGAATCTGTCAGTCCTGGTTGTCCAGAAACCAGACAATGTCAAGGAAAATGAGAAAGGGAAAGAAAGAAGAAAAAAGGAAAAGAGCAAAGAAAAACAGAAGTGTTTAGTTTAAGAGGCAACACCTAGGCTTTTTGACTTGGTACACGGATTAATTTTGAGGTGAACTAAACAAATTTTGATTCGGTTTTGGTAGAATGTAATTTTAAGTTTACTAAAAGTTCGCGCAGAGGGTTGCTGTGCGATTCCGTTTGACTACAACGCCGCTGAGGCTGAAGCTTGACATAATCCCTCAAGTAAGAAATGTCAAGGTCTCTGCGTAGTGTCTCGTTTGAGACATACCATGGAGCGTTGCAAATTGTTCGCAAAGTTCTACTTTGCAGTACTTGAAGACTTTGCATGTGTGTCTTGACTTGAAAACACCAAGCCGCACATGCATAAGTAATGGCTGATCTAATAACCATTTTATATAGGCGAACTTTGTTTATCAAACTGAATTTGTAGGATCTACATAACAAAGGATATAGTTGCCGAAACGCAATTTGGAATTTTGTTTTCAAGGCTGCTGTATGTTTCCGCCAGGTCATGCCTTTATCAAGGGTGTCACCGAGGTACTTGGCAGAATTTGTGCATGGTACACGATTGCCGTCTACAGAAACCTCTGCTGGGGGGTCGCGACGTTTTTTGGTACAATAAATAGCCTGAGTTTTCGAATGATTAATTTTAATCAGCCACCGTTCCGCCCACTCTAGTACTTCTTCCACCGCACTCTGCAACCCATCGTAAACCAGATCACCAGCACACGACTTGGCGACAAGTGCAGTGTCGTCAGCATAGAGGTAGATTTCACAGTTGCTGGAGCAATCATGAATAAAAAGCGAATAAAGGATTGGTCCTAGGACCGAACCCTGAGGAACACGGGCCCGTGATATGCTCCGACCGAAAACCGAATTGAACGTCAGAAATCACATGGTGATTTGACGAAAAGTTCTCAAGATGGCAATAAATCACCTTTTCGGCGAGCTTAGAAGGAGCTGACAGCAGACTAATGGGACGGTAATCCTGTGGAAATATCGAACCCACCTTCTTTGGAATCATGATGGCCTCAGCAGTCTTCCACCCCGCAGGAAGG